ATAAGTACATGGATAAGATTTTTTAGTAAAGCACTATTGAATGTGTTTAACTAAATATGCTGTACTTGAAAGTTTATATATTAGTATGATTTGATATTTTTATTGCACTTATGATGAAATTGTTTTTTGATGTTTGTACGTTTTGTAGGTTAGGTTTTATGTGTGAAACGCCTGATCACACAGCAACTACACAGCTTTTTACAGTTTCTAACTAGCAACTCATACGAAGGATACACCCGTAAAATATTTTCCCATAACATTTTTATTCTAGCACTTCGCCTTTTTTTACAGAATGATGACACAAATTTAGTATAAAACGTACGAATTTAGTTTTTTTTTTTAAATTTAAGTAAACATCTTCACCAAAGTCTATTTTGAATTAGAAACATTTTTATCATGATAAAAGTGAGATATTTAAGAGTAAGAGTATTGAGAGTAAGATATTTAAAAATAAGAGTTTTAAGAGTAAGATATTCAAGAAAAAATTATTTAAGAGTAACATCATTAAGAGTAAATAACATTATCATTTCGCAGAATTTATCGAAGAATAGATAGTAATATAATGAAGGTCCGAATAATATATGAAAGTTTAGCATCGTTCAACAACAATATTTGAAAGTAGAAGGAAAAAATGTATAACCAGCTATAACCTTGATTCTTATGATTTTGCTATCGGGAGATAAACGGTAATCTTTGAAAATCCATAATAAAAGTATTTTCTTCCGTTGGTAGTTTTTTAGCATTAGTTAAAAATGTAATTATTTTGTAAAATACCTTTAAAATTATAATAAGGCTTTAAACCTTCTTGCCAGCTACCCGTTTCAAGTTACCCCGCCTATGGGGTAAAAAAGTCTAGATAACAAATTTTTGAAAGACATCAAAAAAGCACTCAAAAATAAATTCAGTGTCAATTCTGATTTTCAAAGATTCTCCCCCATTTCAAAGATTACCGTTTTCAAATCAAGGTTGAAGCTGGTTATACATTTTTTTTTCTCTACTTTCAAATATTGTTGTTAAACAATGCTTAGCTTTACTGACTTTTGACACGGTGGTGGAACATTTTAACTCCGGACCTTCATAAATTACTATCTATTCTTCGATAAATTCTGGGAAATTATAACTGGGAAAATTTTATTCGACAAAATGTTCCTTTGATCGATACCGAATTCAGGTTCTGAATTTAAATAACATAAATAAAAAATAATATAACCTAGAAAATATTTTATAAATACCAATGAGTATATAATTATACAAATGAGATCTTTCAGAGCACTGTGTTTGAGAAAAATATGCCAAAAAGTGCATTCTCATATTAACATTTAAAAAAAATTGATATTTTGAATTTCTAGTAACACTTGCAATCCGTTTAATATAAATATAACGTTTGTGTATAAATATAACTACGAACAATACTACTTACTACGATTCATTTATAATTAAATAATATCCACGTCAAACATTCTATTAAAAGTAATTGAACATCATCTGTCAAAAACGTTTGGCATTTGACGTATTAGCCACCGTCCATAGTTTTATTTAAATTACGCTTCTACAAAAAATTTCAAATTAAAAATGTAAAGTTTCTATGCGATTTTGAAATAATATCTCATCTTTCCGACCTTCTCTGGATTGGCATGAATTTTTCAAGACTAAGACTGGCCAAATCGGTTTAGCCGTTTTCGAGTTTTAGCGGATCATTTTATCGAGAGCTCCATTTTTATATATAAGAAGATATATATTATCATAAAAAAATGCTCAACTATATTGAAAATACAATTACCACCTGCACTTTGGAAAAATTTACAATGCATTCTAACAAGCTAAATGCAATTAACATCTAATTTAGCATTTGCATCGCAGGAAACATTTGCAAGCGAACGAACCAGGAACTTTCTCGAACACGGTGGAGCGATCTTGTACCTTTTTCATATTACGTAATCACTTGTAATCGACACACACACTATTACATAGATATACAAACACACATTTGTGTGTTTGTATTACCTGTATGTGTGTTGGTAGTGAAAGTTTGTTTTTCATTTCCTGGTAGAGAATTGCCGTCCGTTATTGGCCTGTTACATGCACCAGGAAATCTGTCCAGGCCAATAGAAAACAACACCGTTTTCCTCGTTTTTGCAATTAAAAAAGATAATGGCGATGCTGAGTTCATTGCTTTCATAGACACATGTAACATGATTAGTTTATATATATATATATATATATATATATAAAATAATATTAGGTTGTCAAATATCTCCCTTCCGCTTTTTTGCTCTTGGTTTCATACAAAAAGGCGGAAGGGAGATATTTGACAACCTATTATAAAGTGCATGTGACGATGTTTGTCCGGAATGAACTCCTAAACTACTGAGCCGATTTTAAATTTTATTGGCTCACCGTATGCTTTGATATCCAACTTAGGTTATGAGCAATTATAACATTTTTTTATTTATATAAATGTAAAAACAAATATTAAGAGTATTGAGGTGTTTATCACATTCAAATTTCAATCCAGGGGATTTTTGTAAAAGCCACAACAAAGCGTAGCTGGGTATGCTAGTATATATATTTATATATATATATGTATATATATATATATATATATATTATGGTGGTCCTTAATATGGACATTTTTTAATTTCCTTGCTCCCAAGGGCTCAATTCTCTGAAAGTTTTAGCTCCCTATATTAACTATTACATAGTGTGCAATTCAATCAAACTTCGTATGGCAATAGCATGGAAAAAAATTTGAAAATTAAAAAAAAAAATTTAAAGCATAACTTAGCAACAAATGAATTAGAAATGAAAATTCGTGTAATTTTTTATTGAAAAATTGACGCTTTGCAAAATAATTGAAAAATTTTTCATGCTATTTCTATAAAAAACTTTGATTGAATTGCGCACTATCTAAAAGACAATATTAAGAGCTGAAACTTTCAGAGAATTATTTTTTATCAATTTGGAACCATTTGAGCACTTGGGAGCAAGGAAATTCGAAAATGTCCATATTAAGGACCACCCTAATATATATATATATATATATATATATATATATATACAAATTTCTATGTAAACGTATGCGAATAACTGCAATAACTTTCTCTTCTCCAAGACAAAATGTCAATAACTCACTACTAGAGGAGAACAATTCGCTCTGTTGCTCCTGAGCAAGTTCAATGTACTTTTACGTAACGTCATCTGTCGATTGACTCTTAATCTTAAATATATCATACTCGGTAATACTCATAAATATCCTACTTTTTCTCTTAATTGTCACTTACTATTAACTATTTAACTATTTAATTTAATTTAACTATTTAATGCCACTCACTATTAACACTCTTACTCTTAATACTCCTACTCTTAATACTCCTACTCTTAATACTCCTACTCTTAATACTCCTACTCTTAATACTCCTACTCTTAATACTCCTACTCTTAATAATCTTATTCTTAAGACTCTTATTCTTAAGACTCTTACTCTTACTTTTAAGATTCTTACTCTTAAGACTCTTACTCTTAAGACTCTTGCTCTTAATGCTCTAACTCTTAAAGCCTTAATTTTAGTTATATTGCTCTTAATCAACTTACTATTAATGCTGCTGCTCTTATTAACTTCCCGAAGGAGAAGTTTATGTTTTCATAAAAAAATCCGATTCGCTAATTTTATGTTTTCTCGACGTTTCAAGCCATTCTGAATCGAATGAGACCAAGTTTAAGAAAAAAGTATGTGTGTGTATGAACAGATTTTTTGCCGTAAATCGACGATTTCTTAAAAACGGCTGGACCGATTTAAAAAAAAATGACTCAACTGACGAGTAAACGGAATCCTTACATAAAAAGCAGAATAGGACTCTACTAACGAGCAAGTAAAATGCCTTTTTAAAAACTTTTTGAAAAGTGACCTGAAAAGTGAAAATCTACCGAGCTGTTCTCTTGTAATTCGTTGAAGAAAAAAAATTAAGCCGATTTTTATGGAACATTTTTTGGCGATATATATCATGGTCTTATACAACTTATTGAAATATTACGGCCTTACGACAAGTCTAAACGACATTTTAAAAATTCATCAAAGTTTGAGAAAATTAGTAAATTTTTTTGACGTTCGTTAAAATTAAAATTAGACGATTTACTTGGTAAATCGATAGAGTACTTGGTCTTACATACTTAATCATTAAAGTCCCAAGGAAACTGGATCAATTATAAAAATGGTTGATTTTTGAAAATTTGCTTTTAGAAATACTCCTAGTTAACATGTTCGTTCGTTAATTAATTTATTACACTCATAAATTAATTTATTTGTTATTGATTAAGTAGATTATTTACACATATCGGGAAGTTCATGTAACTTGCCTCAAGGCTAAATACCAATACCAACAAGTTAAAATTTCAAATGTTAAAATAAGATCCTTGATATATTCGCGTGGTTACTACACAATCAATATGAATATATAATTAAAATTTCTAAATATAAAATAATTTACTATCAAAAAACAACCATAATATTTCTATGGTAAAAAATATTACACAGGGCAACAAAGCTGTTTTTAAGTATATTTGGGGCGCTGATTTCAAAAATGAAATTGTTTTTGTTCTATGAGCTTTAGTTTTCAAGATATGATATATATGATACATAAGCAATGAAAAACAAAACAGTAATACAATTCAGAATTTTATTTTAATGAGATATGCTTACTCGTACATACAAACTTACAAGACCCATTCGGCCTTAGTTGGGACATTAGTTGACACTGTGAAAAGTTCTTTTCCGTGACGATCTAGAATGGATCTGGTTTCGGCAACTTTTTTCCAAGTTCCAAACTAGAGCTGATACAAAAAAATGGTTTGCAGATTTGAAATCAGCGCAAAAAATACTATAGGAATCAGATCTAACATTTGATGCACCAAACAAAAAAAAAATTTAGGCCTGTGTTATCATTGCTACATCTGACAAAATTTTTCCTTATGTCGTTAACATTCTTCTAAAAAAAAACTCTTACTTGCTCAAAGCTCGTATCTCGAATTTTGCTCGTATGTCGAAGCAACGAGTCTTTTTTTTGGCGGCTCGTATCGTCGTATCTCGAAACACTCGTAAGTCGAGTAAGTCGCTGTATATAATAATTTGTTACCCTCACTACATACCTGTGAAATGTTCTATGAATTAATATGTACATACACACATGTGCATAAGTATACACATATATCTTGAGCACGACGCACAATGTTGTGCGCGCGCACAAAACACACACAAACACACACACACATATAAAATATACAGAAAGCACATAGCACGCCGTTGACCCACATAAAGGTCATTGCTACTATCAAGTTGCACACAGAAGAGAATCATTTCATTTCTATGTCGGACGGTTACGTCCCTCGACTTACGACTACGAGCGCGACTTTTAGAACGATTGAAATGTGCATTCGAGGGCAGGCGTTAAATGAACTAGTGGTATATAGTAATCAGAATTACCAGTGAGCGAATGCATCACACATCAATGAAGCTTACTTAATCCTTGGTTACGATTCTCATTATACAGGTAACCCCCGCATAACACGGTACTTCTATAACACGGATTCGCTCCAACACGGTTTAAGAATTGAGATCATCCCCCTCATATCAAGGTACTTTCGAGTTCGCATAACACGGTTTAAGAATTGAGGAAAGTGTTAATAAAATAAGAACTATAGAAAAACCTATGAAAAGCAAACTTTTAGTCTAAAATTAGTAAAATCGCCGTACAATAGCTCAATAAATGTGATGAAACTAGTGCAAAAGATGACTAATTTGATATACATTATTAGAGCGCGTACGTTCTATCGAAAAAAAATTCTAGGATTATCCGAACAATATATTAGATAATTCTTAAGCAATTCTTTAAATAAAATGAGCATAAA